GGGGTCCTTCAAAAAGTGAGGACGGTTCTGCACAAAACCTTCACCACTATAATCAAATATCATGTGCTGGTGTCGGGCTGCCGGTTCCTAGGAACTGAACTGCTTGACTCTCAATGTCAAGTCAATATATATATATATATATATATATATATATATATATATATATATATATATATATGTTTTGTTATAGATGACTCATTGACAAGGTATTGCGATTAATATTTTATTTATTTTTTCTTGTGTTCGTAGAAGTGATTTCCTTTCTGGACAGAAAGTATATAAAATCTACCCAATATGAGTATAACAGCTTCATCCACCTGTAAAAATGATAAAAAAAATAATAGAAAAATTAATAAAAAAAAGGAAAATAACATTAACTATGAACACTGCCACAACGTGCTGACCGTATTTGGAAAAAATAAAATATTCCTGGAATAGAATGTATTCTGATATATACAAAAAAAAACCTATTCAGGTAATAAAATAAAAATAAAAAGCATCCTTGATAATGGCTAAAAGAATAGCCGAAATATGCAGAACTCTTGGACTATTTTACAGAATTTAGAAGAAGAAGAAGAAGAAGAAGAAGAAGAAGAAGAAGAAGGAGGAGGAGAAGAAGAAGAAGAAAAAAAAATACAGATACGTTTCAGCTTAACCTGAGGGCTTTATTTTCGTTCATCCTAAAATGTTGAGTCATCGTGCTATTTAGTCGAATGTGTCACCATCGTGTTTGTGGTAAGTAGCTTCAAGGGGAATTGGTGTTAGTAACAAAACAACAACAACAAACAGCAACACGGAATAAATTAAACGCTATGAATCTGTGGTCTCCATCTTACCTCTGTCCTATCCAGACGACTCTTCTCAACTCCATAACTTACTTTTCTTTCTCATTTCATACCTGCTACTGTAAGCGATCTTTTACACTGCGATATATATTTTGGCATTAAATAAACCGGAACGAGTTGATAGGCCGTATAGCACAAATGAGTTTGAAAAAGAAAAGACCCGTTTCATTAGAAGATGTAAACAAAAACAAAGAAATGCTGATTTGCTCTTAATTGGTACCCTCTATTCAAGGATTTAATTGCCCTCATCATCGATAAAACAATCTTAACAATTTGGCAATTTCTTAAGCACTCGGGAATAAAATTCTTCAGGTTTGGATGAGAAGAAGCACAATATCAATATTAATCACTTCTGGATTTATAAACGGTTTTCCTTTAAAAAAATATGTGCAACGATCTGAAAAGATAGCACCTGGTCAGGAGAATAACGTGGATGAGAGAAAATATCCATATTTAATGTCGTAATCTTTTCTTTAGCTTTCTTGCCTTATCATACACGTACCTTAGAAATTTCAATTGCAACTTCCTGATGTTAAATATATGTCTTTTTTGTTTCCATTTTTTTTATTAAAACTTCCTCATTGCTCATATGTTCAGTCCAGAGTAGTCTCAGCATCCTTGTGTAGAACTACATGTCTGTTGCCACGAATCTCTTCTTTGAAATTATCCGACATTCATTGTTATATAGGAGGATTAGTATTATGTAACAGTTCAGTAATCTTTTATTTGTTTCTAACGAGATTTACCTGTTGCTTTAAGCTCTGCTTAGCTTTTAAATATCACAATTCACTGTTCTCGTGCCTCCTCGGAGTTCGAGTGTTGCATTTCCCTTCCTTTGTTAAATACTTCTTTGTTATTTAATATTTTTTTTACTTTCTTGAATTTCACATGTCCTATTTGTAATTTACATGATAAGCTGTCTTTTTTTGCTAAAAACCATATATTCTGTCTTCTTTTAATTAATGGTTAGTCCTTTCTTCTCGCTTTCTTTTACTACTTTCTGTGGGAGTTCGTGTAGTTTTCCCTCTGTGTCTGCTTATTAGCGCAGTTTCATCTACATATCTAAGGTTGTTAAGATTGTGGCCACCAACAATAAATCCTGGCAGGACTACTATTTCTTGCAGAATTCCTTCACTGTATAATTTCAGTAAGTCCGGTGAGAAATCTTACACCATTTTCTATTTTTGTATATGTTATATACCGTACCTATGAACACTAATGGGTATGTCCAATTCCTCATAAATAGTTTGGACACTATTGTATGTGGGAGTAATATGCTGTCTTAGTAGTCCAACACTAGCAGTGGTTTACCTACTTCACGGCGCTGGCGAGTATTGTATTTTGTTGATGTTATAAAGATTACCATTTCATTTCCAACCTCCGTTTTGGTTATTCTTCATTTAGTAACCTTTTCTAGGTCACAACAAAAAGAAGAGGAAGACGGAGAAAGAAAAGAAGAAGAGGAAGAAGAAGAAGAATTAGTGAAAGTAACATTAGCAGAAAGAAGAAGAGGAAAAATAAGAAGAATAAAAAAGAAGAGATAAAAGAAGAATAAAAATGTTATATACCGTACCTATGAATACTAATGAGTATGTCCCACTCCTCATAAATACGTTGGACACTATTGTACGTGGTAGTAATATGCTGTATAAGTAGACCACGACTAGCAGTGGTTTACCTATTTCACGACGCTGGCGAGTATTGTACTTTGTTGATGTTATAAAGATGACCATTTCATTTCCAAACTCCATTTTGTTTATTCCTCTTTCAATAACTCTTTCTAAGTTACAAGAAGAAGAAGAAGAAGAAGAAGAAGAAGAAGAAGAAGAAGAAGAAGAAGAATTAGTGAAAGTACCATTAGCAGAAAGAATGGGAAAATAAGAAGAATAAAAAAGAAGAGATAGAAGAAGAATAAAAGTGTTATATATCGTACCAATGAACACTAATGGGTATGTCTCAATCCTCATAAATACGTTAGAGACTATTGCAAGTGGGGGTAATATGCTGTATAAGTAGACCAACACTATGCAGTGGTTTACCTATTTCACGACGCTGGCGAGTATTGTATTTTGTTGATGTTATAAAGATGACCATTTCAATTCCAACCTCCTTTTTGATTATTCCTCATTCAGTAACACTTTCTAGGTTACAACAGTATATTTACTGAATTCATTTTTATCCGTGTTTACTGTCAGTATAAGTTCGGAATTATTCTAATATATTTCCCAAATATATAAATACATTAAATGTCAATGTTTTTGTTTCTAATGATATTTTCTATGTCTTCATACTTTGCTCAATTTCTGGAAGGCATATTTCTTATGATCTTACAAAATTCCGTGTCACATTTCCAATCGTCTGTTACTACCTACCAGAATTTTTGTTTCTGCTTAATTTTTCCATCTCCAATGCGTTTGCAAATTCTTTGGGCTGCGTATTTTGCTTGCAACTATGCATTTATTGCTGTTCGTAGTTATTTTCTTTTTCTTTTCAATTAATAAGTTATCAAAAACTTATTTCAGCGTCCTGGTTATGATAATAAACTACATCTGGCAGCAAGACCTCTGATAGACATGGAACCACCTCCTTATTGCTGTTGTTCACATATATATATATATATATATATATATATATATATATATATATATATATATCTATATTTCTGAGATGAAGTATCATGTACACTATTTACATTATTCGGACTATTGTCCTCATCTTTGTCCTTATTGCTGTTGTTCTTATATATATATATATATATATATATGTCTATATTTCTGAGATGAGGTATCATGTACACTATTTACATTATTCGGACTATTGTCCTCATCTTTGTTGTTATATTTTCATTTTTTCAAAACACGGTCAAGATATTGTGCCCATGTTCAAAGTTAATATTATTAAGTGTTGTTTTTTTTATTAACAAGGCTTCCATTATTTTTTCCCTCTTTTACATGTCGATGATGCTATTATATTAATGTTGTCAACAAGTATATTACAAATAGTGTCCTGACCCGAGGTGGTAGCACTTATTAGCGCCTTAGCTATCAACAAATTGTGAAGCCCTAAACTGGAATAAAAAACAATGAGAGTATCGATATCAAAAATAAATGAGATTTTTGTAAAAAAAACATATATCAGCAAGAGATTTTTGTAAAAATAAATTTCTCAAACCCCAAAGAAAATTATATTTCGTCAATAAATAACCCATAAAGTGTTGATGTTCCGTTAAAGAAACAAACAGTTCTTCCAGTCTCCTTTTTGAGTTCGCCTTCAAAGCAGTTCTATACACGTATGTGACATTGTTAATATGCTCATCGATAATAAATCATGTTAGGCTTCAAGTTTTCTTGGAATCATTTTGTGGTATAGTTTAAACATGTCCGCTGAGAAGGTGACCCCTTGTCTTACTCTTGTTTCTATTATTGTATATTCAGAGAACACATAAGTCACAAAAATGCCAGAGAACAATAGTTTTATTTTGAGCAGCGCGTACATATTCTAATCGTGGGTAGAAATACTGATCCATTATTACGAACAATTTCCATCATTTTTGATGGGTACGATGCTAGTAGATATATATATATTTTGAATGAAGACGTGATGGGTATTTTTATTCCAGGTAAAAATCAATAGCCGATTGCACACAACCGCCGCTACCCTTTATCACCCCCGCTGATTCAACAGATAATTGTTGCAAGCTATTGGTGTATTGACAAGAATGAAGCACACATGTGGAATGGTTGAGCAGGGACGAAGGTTAGGGGTTAGGGGTTAGGGGTCAGGTGAGGACAGATCAAAAACCTTGTTCATTTCATCCGACACCTCTTTCCAACAAGAGCGATTTTTTTTTTTTTTTTGGTCTGAAATTGTTTCGAATCACTTCCCGTTCCTTGTTTCTTTATTCCGACGTTTCTTTGCGTTCTGGACCAGTTCCAGCATGTTCTCCCCACCGCCAATTCGCTGCAAGGCAATATCGGGAGCGAAGGTACATGACCAATTTGTCACTGAACACTGAAACCCAGCCCTAGTTTTCATCGCTTTATCCGTTCAGCATCGCAATGCGCAAAGCTTACTCTGACTCAACATGCACCCACTGAGGCTACCAAATTGAACAGTTACTGTACATGTAATTATAGCAGTGCGTATGTGTGTTAGATCTATCTATCTATCTATCTATCTATCTATCTATCTATTAGTGTATTGCCCGTCAAAACTGACTCGAGCGATTATGTATTGCTCAATACTGCTAACTAGGACCAGATTATATATTCGTTCGATCTGGAATTAAAATATCTTTCCTAGACGCTGCAACTGAGGATCTGCACACGCATGGGAAATGGCACACAAAGCGTGTACATTAAAGATGCCGGAAAGTCAACATATCTTTGTTATACTGAGGCTTGTCCTCATCTTTGTCGCCATATTTGTCACAACGCTTCGGCCGTTGTTCGCTCCGGCCTTCTTCAGGTGGTTGGAATTTCGAACTGAACCCTTTATTTTGATCACTGGGGTAGACTGTTCTAGTTCCACGTGCCATGTTTGATGGATGTCAGTTATCAGTTATCTCCTGCTAATTTTCCCTCTGAAAGTTCTCCACTGCCTTAACCAGGAATTGAACTCACCTTCTCCTCAAGGACACACGGCACAGTGGATAAAAGGCGTTGGTTAGATCCAGTGACAGACCCAAAGAAGGTGAGTTCAATGCCCAGTTAAGGCGGTGGAGTGAGGGAAAAATTAGCAGGAGATAACGGACATCCATCAAATATGGCACGTGGAACAAAAACAGTCTACCCCCAGTGATCAAAATAAAGGGTTCAGTTCGAAAAAACCTGAAGAAGGCCGGAGCGTATAACCGGAAACGTTGTGACAAATATGGCGATAAAAGATGAGGACAATGGTCCGACTAATGTAAATACTGTACATAATACCTCATCTCAGAAATATAGACAGACTACTGCTGCTTGCATAAATGCAATTAAAAGGAAAGAGATTATATTGAATAAATTTCGGGTTTCTGTCTATATTTCAAGGACACATGGCACAGTGGATAAAAGCGTCAGTTAGATCCAGTGACAGGACCCAAAGAGTGTGAGTTCAATACCCGGTTAAGGCAGTGGAGAACTTGAAGAGAGGGATTAACTGGAGATAATTGACAACTGGCATCCATAAAACATGGCATGTGGAACCAGAACAATCTACCCCAGTGAGCGAAATAACGAGTTCAGTCTGACATTCCAACCACCTGAAGAAGACCGGAGCGTACTAAAGACGAAACGTTGTAATAAATATGGCAACAAAAATGAGGACAATAATCTGAATAATGTAAATACTGTAAATTCTGGCTTATTAGCCATAGACCCACAATTTGTCACCTGTTATTCGTTACCGTTTTCAAAACAGTTTCTGGGTTGCGGTGGGACGACCACACTCTACACACTTTCCTTCCAAGCACTGCTATAAACAAAGGAAGACTTCAAGAACGTTAGTGTTCGTTTGCGACAGAGATCAAGGTTAGCCTGCGAAAACCGGCTTTACTTGGCGAACTTTCGCTCGTTTGTCAGAGCAACAATCTCCAGACATTTTGATCATACCTCGTATGTCATTCGAGAAAGGAAAAAAAAAAAGAAGGAGAGTGAATATACAAGAAGCGATAAAGCTACCGTACTTTTAACGTCTCTTTGAGGAAAATGATATGATAATAGGAAATACACCAGCACGAAGTGATTTGTTTCACTAATGATAAAGACACAAATTTCCACGGCTCCCGCTTGATATGACAAAAAGACATAGATGTCATAAAAACCTATTAGGAAAAAATTATAACGTGATAATATATATATATATATGCAATTTCTCATGTGATCTAATAATTGTTTTCTTTTCTCAGATGATAAATTATATAAAAACTGTCCGAATGTTCTTTTTATCCGAGCGCTTTCGGCTATACATTTAGCCATTTTCAAGGATTAAATATTTTAACTGTTAAATAAGAAATAGTTTGTTGCATGTATGTTTTATGAAAATGTTTTCATTTTCATAGCTCAATTAGATCTCATTTAAATATTCATGAAGACCTACCGGACACTATTCGTAACATACTTGTTGACAACACTAATATAATAGCATTATCTATATGTAAAAAAAAAGGCTGAAAATAATGGAAGCCTAATTAATAAAAACAAACAAAAAACAACACTTAATAATATTAACTTTGAACATGGGCACAATATCTTGATCGTATTTTGAAAAAAGTGAAAATATGGCAACAAAGATGGGGAGAATAGTCTGAATAATGTAAATTGTGTACATAATACCTCATCTCAGATATATATATATATATATATATATATATATATATATATATATATATATATTCTTTTTACTGCCACACCAAGTCAAAATTGATTTAAATATAAGGATCATATTTCACATTTTATTGTTGAAATAGATACAAAAGTATCTCGTTTAAGGAAAAAAGGTGGGATGGCATTTAAGGCACCTTTCGAGTGACACTTCTTCAGTAAAATAATCGTCGGCAGTATAAAACAAAGAAATTGATAAGAAAGATTATTATTAACGACCAATGTTAAAAAACAATAGATTACAAAGATGTAATATAATGGGGAAATTAAAGGGAGAAAAAAAAATATAACCTTACTTTTGTATCTATTTTAACAGTAAAATGGGAAACATGATCCTTATGTTTAAATCAATATATATATATATATATATATATATATATATATATATATATAGAGAGAGAGAGAGAGAGAGAGCGAGAGAGAGAGAGAGAGAAATGACAATAGGAAAACTAGTAATTGCTGACGCGTTTCGTCCAATGTGGACTTTATCAATGCAAAATACGAAAATTTGCTTTGATAAAGTCCACATTGGACGAAACGCATCTGCAATCTCAACCTATTGTTATTTATAAATATTGTCTTCTCACTGGTTAAATCGGAGAAATTTTCATATTCATATATATATATATATATATATATATATATATATATATATATATATATATATATATATATATGAAAATATTTGAAAATATATATATACTCTTGACTGTCAACTTGCATCGAGTAAAACCAACTCTTGTTACAAAAATCACCTACACGCACCAGAGATATTGCGCGCACGAAAGTGACTTTTGAGTCCAGACAGGGTTTTAAATACTCAGCTACAGAAGACACACAGATGGGGATTGGGTGCATCAGGTATACGATCTCCATACCTACACAAATGACTCACTCGACCAGCAGTGGCGAGACAAATTCTCCTAGATGATCCGAATAATGTAAAGAGTGTATATGTTTTTTCATTGGATACGACAGACGAGGTGCTTTGATTTAGGTTTTTTTATACAATTTCTGATGGCATCTAATATTTCTTTTATTTTCGGATGATAAATTATATAAAAACTGTAATTGTTCTTTTTATCCGAGAGCTGTGAGAATAGTAATATTATGGAAACGTATAAATTGCTTACCATATTCTTTAAAGTTTATTTTGCCATCCAACCAGCCTCGATCAAACAGGTATGTATCAACGATTTTAAGCTTTCGAAATTATCAATGAACTTATTTCCTCTGTGAAAAAAAAAAAGAAAAGCTGAATCAATGAGAGTCGTTTTGCGTTGATTGTCTCAAAACGGCGGATTGCAACGTTGGTGCCACAGGGAATAATTTTGAAAAGAAGTTGGAAAACAAGCGAAAGCATATTGGGTGAAAATGTAATTAAATCGCTAGGGAAGATAATTAGCGGGAAAATGAAGGCTTCTGTATGAGCGAAGCAAGAGACATGGAAAGTCAGAAATGGAAAGAAAGAAAGAAAGAATGGAAGAAAGAAATATGGCGGATAATAATGAAAGGAAACAGATTACCCGGGGAACTAAGCTATAAAAGTTTTGGAAGAGAGAGAGAGAGAAAAAAAAAACCAATAAGAGAAGACAAGTGATGATTGGTGTAAAAAAGCTCCCATCTCGACCAAGAAGTCATCTCAAATAATTTCAGTGTTATTTTAAGATTTTAAAAACTGCGACCTAGTTCCGAGAGACGTGCCCATTAACTATCGCATTTGTGTATATGTTTCATGCTAAATGCAATCAGCGGGATCATCACGTGATTTGGTAATTTGTTTGGGTTAATTTATTTTACTTATTTTATTGTCCTTTTGTTTATTTATTTTATTTTTATTTTATTTTTTTCAGTTTTCGATTTTTTTTACTACGTTACTTAAAAATCGAAAACTGAAAAATAAAATAAAATAAAAATAAAATAAAAAAAATGACAATAAAAATGACAATAAAATAAGTAAAATATATTAACCCAAACAAATTACCAAATCGCACCCGTTAGAATAGACGAAATGGAATAAATGAAAAACAAAATCAATGAAGCCAAATAAATAAAGTAAATAATAAAATAATAGACAAACCATTATGACCAAAATAATAGACTATAAAAATCAAACCAAAAATCGGAAGAAAAACAGCTATAACTGTTATATAAGGATAAAAAAAAAAATACTACGTTACTTAAAAATCGAAAACCGGAAAGAGTAAATAAAAATATATAGTATGATAAATAAATAATAAAAAACAAGTAAAATAAATTAATCTAAATTCATCCAAATAAATAAACAAACAATTTATCCCGATAAATGAACCGTTAGAAAAAACATAAAAAGATAATCAATCCAAATAAATACATGAAATAATAAACAAATTAAAAACTGCTCCCGCCAAAATAATAGCGGAAATAAACTACAACAACCAACCCCAAAATTGAATAAATGGCTTTAATTATCTTCTCTTTTATTGCAGAAATTATGAATCTCCTTCTGAACAGTCGTTTGCTATGTGTTTATTCAAAATGAATCTTTTGTTTTTATTTTATTTTTTTCAGCTTTTATTTTTATGTTAAATTCGACTGTCATTATTATTATCAGCTTGATGTAAAATTTCCGCCATCTTCGTGATAAACTTTTCCCTACGAAGAGGTACTAAAATGTTAACATCTGTATTTTTGATATTTATTCATTGAAATATTGATTGTAGGAGTTATGTCAGTTTGTGACAGTTTTCAGTATCCTCCCGAACACACTCACAGCACAATTAATCTTTAATTTAACGTACCTTTGTCAGTATTCTCTCCCCTTTGGATACTTTTCAATGAAATCTTGGATTCCGCTATAAATAAGCATTCTTTAAAAATAGGCAAACATTTGTTTTGAATATTATTTCATAG